CGACATCGACGAGCGCAAGCTACTACTCAAAATCGATCTGCATGTGCTGCCGTACATCTGTGTGATGTATACCCTGGCCTTTCTGGACCGGTATGTTTGATATCTGATGTAGGGATAGGGTTGACCTTCAACCTTTTCCAGTGTAAACATTTCGAATGCGGTCTTGTTCGGACTCAAGGACGACCTGAAGCTCGTCGGGAACCAGTATAGTACTGCCCTTGTCATCTTCTTCGTCCCGTACATCCTGTGCGAGATACCCTCGAATATCCTGCTCAAGAAGCTGAAACCGCACGTCTGGCTGTCTATATGCATGACTATGTTCGGCCTCGTTACTATGTTGCAGGGATTCGTCCAGAACTTTGGCGGTCTCATGGCGACGCGCTGGTTTCTTGGTGTCTTCGAGGCAGGTGGGTATATGCGCGTCTATGGGTTTCGTTGAGCTTACTGTAATGGTCAGGCATGTTTCCGGGATGCTTTTACCTCTTGGCGATGTGGTACCGCAGAGAAGAGTCGCAGAAACGCTATACGTTCTTTTTCTGCTCGACGACTTTGGCTGGTGCGTTCGGCGGGTTATTAGCTAGTGCCATAGGGAAGATGGACGGAGTAAGAGGCTATGGCGGGTGGAGATGGGTGTTCATTCTAGGTGAGTCTTGGTCCTTATATTGGCGTGATAGTAAGAGCTGAATAAGATGTCCATCCAGAGGGCCTTGTCACGGCTCTTTTTGGCATTGGATGGTTCTTCTTACTACCTGACTTTCCGGAAGAGGCGAAGTTCCTCACCCAAGAGGAACGTGACTTTGTCAGGAAGCGCCTCCAGGCCGATGTTGGTGCCTCCGCTCATCAAGAGAAGGCAACGTGGTGCGACATTCTAGCCGTTTTCAAAGACTGTCAGTATTTGTGCACTAATCTTTCTTCGAAACTTGCTTATTCGTTGATAACTAGACAAAATTATCATTGGAGGCTTCATGTATTTCGGACTTATTGTACCGGCATACGGGTATGCTTATTTTGCACCAACTATCATTAATCAACTGGGGTATGGAAGTATGTCTTTCATGCTCTCCCGGACCTGTCTTTTTTAATCAATTCGTTCGCCAGCCATCCAATCTCAGCTGCATTCCGTTCCACCATGGGCGGCTGCGTTCGGTTTTGCTATGACACTAGCTTTTATCTCTGACCGTTTACACCACCGATGGTTCTTCACTTTCATCTCTAGCGCCGTCTGTCTTATCGGTTTCGCCATACTGCTATCAGATCCGTCGAGGCACAGTGTCAAGTACGGGGCGCTCTTTCTCGCCGCGTCAGGTGCCTATACTTCCATGCCCATCATCGTTGGGTGGTTCAATACCAACTTGGCGGGCCATACGCGACGCTCTGTGGGTACGGCGTGGCAAGTTTCCTTTGGTAACATCGGAGGTATCATTGCTGCGTTCTCGTTCCCGACAGGGGACGGTCCGAAGTATATCAAGGGGTATGCGATATGTGTGGCGTTTGTGTGCTTAAGCATGGCATCCAGTGCAGTTTATCTCCTCGCCCTCATCTTGGAAAATAAAAGCAGAGCGAGGAGTACCCAGCCGGAGGTTGCAGAGAAAGAACGGGAGCAACTGGGGGACCTCAATCACGACTATAGATACATGTATTAAGTTATCGTCCAGTATAGACTATTGCAACACTTTCATTAAGGAGTTATATTCCTCGTCTACTGCCTCCGTGGTATTCCTAGTGCCGCCAGCATATCGTCTTTACCAATGTTTTCTCCAGCGTTTCCTTTCCACACAGTAGTGATTGGCCAGGCAAAGTATGCTCCAATGACTCTTACCATTATGCGAATCCCATCAGCCGGAGGAAGCCTTCGTTCAATGTCTTCCATCCGCGTCACCAGTGCAGTCTAGCCATGCTGAACACAATTTTGGTTGAAAAAGTAGAGTTTTTCTTTATCAAGACGGAGTTAAAGTGTACAATCGCGCGCAAATTATAAGAACTAGTAGTAAGGAAAGGTAGCGCAGGAATATTTCCCAGTAGCGCTCGCGTTGTACTCTTGGTCACGACTCACGCTCACATGCTCGAACGCAATAAAAAAAGCGGAGTGTTTGTTTCTGCAGGCGGAGTCAAGGTGCACGATCGCCAAACGATCACGCACAAATGACAATAATTACTAAGAAAAGATAGTGCAGAATATTTCGTAGCGCACAAGGGGCGTTGAACTCAAGTACAGTCACCTCTATAATAACCCATACCCCTCGGTCGACGCTTCAATTACACGCAAGTTGTATTTTAGACTTACCGGAAGTAAATACACAGAAATTTTAGCACCTTTAAGAAATGAGCCGCTTATCAGCCTCTTTCAGCCTGCTTTCTGAAGAAATAATGCCAAATGGCAGCAATTTTTTCCATTACAAACAAGATAGCATACCTCCAGTTCATCATGCCCGAGTTATGTACCCCTCCATTCAAGACTTCAGCTTCCATCCTCGGCAAGTCCTCGGTAGTTCAGGAGCTCCGACATCCCTAGACGTTTCCTTTCGCCGCTAGACTGTGTATAGATGATTGTCGAGCACACGGACTTATCGTCTACTATGCAGCAGCTCGGTCCGATAATAGTCAGTGATTACTTATATGACACGGACATACGGTTAATTCTTAGACTCGGGGATCACGCATCATTGATTGTCTGTTCGATTACGATATCCCGGCGCCATGCAAAGAGAAGCAGGAAATAGCTACGCCACTGACTGGTACGATTCAGAGCTCTGGAAAGACATTTCCTTTGGTTGGGGTGAGTACATGAGTCTACCGAGCTAGGAGAAACTAAATTTACTCTTAGCGAGATTCTGGACTATGCGCTTAACACCGTAGGCGACGTTGTTTCAAGGCGCTAAATACTAGGTACGGGCCGCTCATCATTGTCTTAAAATATAGTCCTCCGAGTCATCCGAGGATACGGCGATCTGTTTGGGCGATTCAGATTTAGCAGACCAGCATGAGATATGACTAGGAAGGACGTACCAGCAGAGAAAAAGAGGATGAATTTGGACCCCTTACAAGAGACAGATAGATAACCGGAGAAGGTCCAGGGAAGGGAAAGACAAAGAGAGGTGATGATCGGCAATTGCCGTAATTCGACAGTTGATCCAGTTGACCGCTCTATCCTGAATTCTCACCAACTGAATCATGCCCAGCGACCACATGCCCGGCTGCTTCACCAATGACCACCAAGTCCACAAAGCGTCCTAAGCTCTTCCCTCTCTTCACAACGCCAGCCCTCAAGTTCAAATTCGCCATTCGTTTCAATAATTTCACTCATTCGTCCAAGCAGAAATCGCCTTCAAGGACATGCCCACCCAAGCCGTCTTCGCCTGCGCAGGCACCGGAATTATCGCCTGGGACTGTGCTGGGCCGTGGGTCTGAGTACACGTTGGTACGGCCCCTGGGGAATGGGGGGTTCTCGACGGTCTGGTTGGCACAGACGGATAAGGAGGACGATGTCGACGACAGCGCCTCGTTCCATACAGCCTTGACATACCTCTCGCCGCCTGCATCGAATCTGGTCGCCATCAAAGTCCTCACGACAGCGGGTGAACGGACTCGCGAACTGTCGAAGCATCTGCGACTGGATCACCCGCCTGACCAGCTTGTCAGACTGCTCGACCATTTCACTTTTGGTGAGCGACAACGGAGCAGGCGAGTCTCCCTCCCTGCAGCGCTCCCTGATCGCCCCGTACCCGCCCCATTCCCGTCAACATGTCTTGTACTTTCCCTTCACGGCCCAACTCTCAGCGACCTCAGACAGCACCTTGGCACTCGCTGGCTACCATTACCCATCGTGAGACGCATCACAACCGACGTCTTGGCCGCACTCGACTTTCTTCATTCCCAACACCTCATTCACACCGACGTCCAGCCACGAAATATCCTCCTGTCCCTACCCGATGCCCTCTCTCTCGACCAATCAGAGTGGAGATTCGTCCTAGCAGACCTAGGCCACGCCGTCCAGCTTCCTCACAAACGCCACCCTTCATCGAACGTCCAGCCACATGCCCTTCGCGCACCCGAAGTTATTTTGGGTTTGAATTGGGATGAGAAGATCGACATCTGGAATTTAGGTTGCTTGGTGTACGAGTTCGCCACTGGAGGTCCACTATTTGATCCATTCTTCAAACCCACGCCAGACTATGAGGCTATGACCCCTGCCCAGATACACCTGCTGCAGATTATCGAGCAGGTTGGGGAGGTTCCACAGTGGATGAGGGCTCCAGATCCCGGAATTAAGGGACGGAGTGCAGAGTTCTTTGATGCAGACGGTGAGCTGCTTCTCCGATTGCTAGTCGCACGTTGCTTAGCATGTGTATCTTCCAGGAACCTTCCGCTGCCCCTTCCCACTCCAGATGACTTCTCTGGAGGCAATCGTTAAAGGCGTATGGAAATTCCCATCGCCTGCGAGCAGTGAACGCGACCATTTCTGTGCTTTCTTGCGCACAATTGTGTGCGTCGATCCTCAAAAACGGTTGAATGCAAAACAGGCGCGCTCGGAGAGTTGGATAACATTTTCACCTGCATATACCACTACTTTTATACCATCTTAATACTGTGCTGTCACAATCTGCGCTTAGATCTCTTTCTGTGGAATCATCTCGTGGTTAACTGTAGTTTTTTGTATTCTTGTTCGTAGCATGATAGACGCTCAAGTTATCAGGACGTTTGGGTCGGTTGGGATAGTCCCGCACGTGAGGTATCGTTCGACGTTCGGGAAAGCGATCTTCTAAGGGCCAAAACAAACCACGTACTCGATAGCTGGTCGCCGGGAGTGTTCACTGAAAAAATACTGGGCCTGAGCCCTGAGGCCCAGGGCCCACTTAGAATCACGATAAAAGATAACTTCAAAATATTGAGTCACCCCTCTGATGAACCCGAGCTCTCCCCGGGGCCTGGAATCTATTATCTCACTCGTGAGTCACGACTCACGAAGTAGCTCTCTTAAAAATTTCCGGAGCCCCATTCTATGCATTAAGGGGGAATTGAACCCCCGGCAGGTCGACACTTTCAATTTTCAGGTGGCAACGACCCAGGTTACCACTACCCCATTAATGCCGTAACTGAGAAGTCCAGTCTTTCCACTTGAAAACAGTAATCCACCGATACTCATCCGTGACGAGGAGGGTGATCTTACTGGCGCGTCGACTGGTATTTTTCCACGAGTATTGTCTCTACGACATCCGCAGCTGCTTCGAGGCAAGCTGAAGACATTACCCACAGACGAGTGCTGGATCGTATCCAGTCGGAGGGCGATACAAGAATGGACGAGGAAGCCTGACACTAGCATATTCAAAACGAGCTAGACAAAGATCTCAAATACATTTTCTTGTGCATCGTCGTGGTGATCATTTCTCACCACTATGGAGAACCAGGATCATACCGCTTAGCCTGGACGGACCAGCAATTCACCAGCTAGCTCAGCATCATCTGCGCTATAACGTTATGCTACTCAGTATCCGCTACCTCTTGCTCATAAGCACGGAGAACTTCATCGCCGCTGTCCGAGAACGCATTGTCAGTCTTCGTACCATCGTCGCATTCATCACCCGCACACACATACTTCTTGCTCCGCCTCTTGCTGTCTTGCCTTGCTTTTTTAGGCGGTGGCATGGAAAAACTTGGCGGTGCCCGTGAAATAAATGATCGCTCGCAAATCTTGAAGCTGGACATGTGAATCCCGGGGCCTCTAATCTTCCTGTGATTTCCTTCACCTCGGTAGGCATCGCATTCGGCCGGTCTCACCCACATGTCCGGGACATAGGTCACGGTTTGTTAAAAGTTCAATAGGCTTCCTATTGATCGCGGGTCAGTATGTAAAGAGACACCGGAAAGGTGCTTACTCCCCGATAGATTTACTACCAATATCTTTTTTAGATCTCATGGAACTGCCTTTCCAGTGTCATGCTTTTTGTGTGCTTTTCAACCAAGGGAAACAGTGCATCGATTCTTCCACTATGGGAACTCAGCCTCAGGCAGAACTTGCGATCCAGGACAGGACATGCCGAAGAAGTCATTTGAAAGTTTCGCTCATAATTCATAGGCTCGGCCGTTTTGTCCGCATTCGATGGTGTGACATGCGATTGGTGGTAGGCATGCTGTGAAGCGACAACGAGGTATATCATTTGGATAAGATCGTTCAATATGAATAGCCCACTATAAGATCATGACTTCAATCACCATACCGACGCCGAATGTTCGTTTTGCCGGTCTCAAATTTCCGTACTCATCGTGCGTTCTAGATAGATTTCGTTTGTCCGGCGGCGGACCCCAAGGGACCCTGCATCAACCATCTCAGCTCCCTCTCCACACGAAATCCCTCATCCAAGGCAACATTGCCGACCTCTTGATGACCCCCGATACGACTACTACACGACCGTTTAAGATTCGACCTATGCCTGCCTGTATATACCCCGATACCCGTGCCCCCTACCCTGGCCACCGCGACCGATCCCATATCCCCCTCATGCACATCGGCCCCACTGGGCTCAATCATCGTTACGCAATTCCCGAAGGTTCTGTAGTATTCGCGGAACCGAGCCAATACTAAATCCATAGGCAATATACTTTGCACCAGGCCAGCGTTAGGATGACTTTATGTAGGAGACCTCCAATTCAATTCACCGAAGGTTCTCGACGTTCCTTGTCATCGGCCGCTGAGACAACTGATATTTTCTCCACGGCCCTTGCTGATCGAAGAGTCGATAGTCCCATCCCATCTACTGTATCCTTAAACTGGTGAATGCGAATAAGGCCGCTTCCGTCCTGTTACGGGTTCGACAGCGGTTTTCATGTCGACACAATACCTTGTGCGCTTCCAAGAACAATATCGGAATATCCTGAGAAACGCCAGACTGGCACAACAACAAGATGAGCTTGAACGTAGTGTTAGGACAAACTTGATGCAAATGCAAGACCCTATAGTAACGACGAAAGAAAAAGAGAGAGACCCATAGGAGGAACCGATGTCGTTTGTACAATTTCCTTGTCCCACAGATTGTTTAAATTTATTCACAGACCGACACATGTAACAGTACTCGACAGGCCCAATTCAAAAATACAATTGCTAGCCAAATCACTTTCGAATGACATACATGAAGCCGTCATAACCCTTCTCATCAGCAGTACAGATAGTCGTAGCCTCTACTTCCTTGTCCCCTTTAATTGCACTAAGCAGTCTCTTAATACCCTTAACTTTCCCTTTATCGTAATCGGAGAGTGTATCTGGAAGCTGTTCTTTGGCGACATCGCCATTCAGAACGACATTATCGAGGATCTACGCCAACCATGTGTCAGGCACATTGGACAACAACTTATCGAGATTACTCACAATGACCCCTCCTCGTTTTATCAGCCGTTTCGCCTCCGCGAAATACTCAGTCATTGGAGGTTTATCCGCGTCGACGAATATCAGGTCAAACTTGTGTTCGGTTGGAAACTTGGCGAGGGTTTCGAGCGCAGGACCGACAATAATTTCAACTTGAGAGGTCAACCCAGCGAGTGCAATGTTTTCTGAGGCGACCTAGGCTGAAATAAGACTTTGGACGCAAGATAATGACCGCCTGATATTACCTGGACATTGAGTTCGTTGAGTTCGAGAGAGATAACCTTGCCATCCTTGGGAAGTGCTCGTGCTAAAGATATAGTCGAGTATCTACAATCAGTAGCCGTTAAAAGGGCAGGTTAACAGTGACGCAAGTACGTCGATGCTTACCCGGCAAGTGTCCCTATCTCAAGGATTTTCTTTGCGCCAATAGACCTAGCAAGTAAGTTCAGAAATTTGCCGAGCGCAGCGCTGACGGAGATCTCCGTCCGTAGTCCATGAGCGTCGCTGTTCTGGAGAGCAGCATGGAGAACGTCGTCCTTTGGCATAAGGAAAGACCTATGGTATTGGTCTGAGCGAGCCCAATCAGTGTAAGTGGTTGTGGGGAAGTTCGCCATCGCTTTGCTGGAACTCAAAGGAAGATTTCTGGTCTTTTTAGCCACCATGAGCCCGAACAAAGCCGCGGATTACGATGAATACCAGATAGTGAATAAAACCCCCGGGTTCAAGAAATGAACATTGGGTGAACCCGTACCGTAGGTTACACACGAAACCCTAGTCCTGCTACGCCGGGGTTTCGGACCGTTAAGTCACCGGCAGATCACCTCCCATCGCGGGAAGGATTATATGTCCGTGAATGATGATAATCCAACTAGTACTACCTATATGCCATTCACAAAGTCCAATCGTACGCAGCATTTTCAGGGGGACTTAAAGTTCGCGAGATAAAAAAAGGCGAAGACAAGGATGCACGGTGTGTCAGCCATGTGTTCTAAAATATGGATTAATTTGTTTGCTTTCGTTACTGTATCAAAGGAGAGGTCAGTGCAAACCGTAACTTACCTGCCCTGGGGTTTCATCCAACCTACAGTACCCCGGGTACCCCACACCTGGGTGGCGACTATTTTGGGCGAGTAAAAATAGAATCAAAATCGGAGGCTCTCTAATAAAGAGGCAAAATCGGGCTTTTGGGATTTGATTTTATTTGACTCACCTAAAACAGTCGCCGCAGCTTTACCCGCCAAGGCTTTTGCCCGGATCAGCCATTAAACTGCTCAGCCGAGATAGCAGGTACTTGCCGGGCTACCGGGAACACCAATTCGAACCTTTTCCAAGTCAAAGATATTATTTAATTCGGCTATAACATTGTTGATTATCACCGGCTCTAAGTCCATCCCCTCATCGGCAATGTATTGGTCAATCGACGATCAAAACCTGAATGATTGACGCTAAGAAACAGCGGATATAGCCACTGAAGCACTTTTTTTTAAAATCACTGAGTATATATACCAATGCGACGGGTCAGCCGGGTACACCCCGGGTTTCCACATACTGACCCGTACCCGATCCGGCAATCTGGCAAAACCCAGGGCACCCCGGTGACGGGTGACGGTACTCTCTACTAGCTGCAGGAGAAGTTCGCTTTTGGTTCTCTTGGGAAATATGCTGTCTACTGTCTCCGCTGGCACGGAGTTATCCATGTTCCTCTGAGGTAGTACGCTAGCATTGTAGCATCTTTCCTAGTCAACTGACCTTGACGTTTGCGACACTCTCTTGTGTTACTTCCCATGCCAAGGTCCTTTCTCTAGGCTATCAGGATCTCCTTTGGGTAATGACGAAGCCGTCGACCCGTATAGTCGAAGAAGCTATCATCCCTATAATCGTTTATAATCGCATAACCTCCCTTGAGGAGGTTATGCGATGACGGTTATTCCCATCATCATAGACTCGTTAATCGATGTATAATCGTCTCATAATCCTAAAGTTGACCCCCTGCATCTAGGAAAGGCCTTCCAGTGGATCGCGATGTGTATTGCTGTATGTGCCGAAATCGTATATACTTTATAGAGATTAACTTAGTGTGGGAGCCCGGGCTGCTGTTGCCTACAACAGCATGCGATGATCTAGTGAACCGTGAGGGCGGTCTTTCTGAACCGTGTTGGATACTCTTTAGGCGTCTCCGTTCAATCAAACCCGAACTGAAACCCGGACTGCACCATTATCTTTGTTCAAAGCCAACAGACTTATGCCTGCCGCTTTCGATGGTGGTTTCTGCATGAACAGTTTATCATACAGTACCAATACCGTTTGCTATATGAGTATTGAAGTACCCTACTATTACTATGACCCTACAAAGCCCAATGTCCGGTTTTGTATTGAACCTGCGATCGTCCTACATAAGTACAATCCTTATGAGAACATAACACACATATCCAATTATGAACTGAAATGAAGGCCGAGTTTCACTCCTTCACGGGTTTACAGCTACACAGATATAGTGACTCCTCGGGCTCGGACTCAGGCTCGGACTCGGAGGTGGATGGAATAAGCCCCTCAGCTTCATATTCCTCGACATCAAACTCGGCGATCTGAGTACTGAGCTCTAGACTTGTGTAGGACCTGAAGATTGAAATGATCAGGATATCGAAACGACCATAATGGATATGCGAGGAGAAACGGCGTACATGTTGAGACCAACAGTAATAGTTCCGATCAGTCCGTCTGTGAGATCGTC